AACGCAGCGTGCCCCGCCTTGCTGCACAGCTCACCAAAATGTCCAACATGAGAATGGATCCTCTGCGAGACCATAGAAAGATACAGCACCATAACTTTTGTGAATTGGGTGAGTGGTGTGACCAGGCCATTATTCTATTCATCTACTTTTTCTGGATTCCAACTCCGGATCTGAAAGGCCAAAAAAAACACAGGAAGGATCCAGCGTTGCGTGGATCTGGCTTTGTATTTGTATTTGAACAGCTGCCCTTGCAGTCGCTGGTGCACGGATACAAATGAATGGGCCCTAGAAACCGCGGCGCTGAGGTTCCAAAAACAATGTGCTACATCCCAAAAGAACACGGAACCCCAGGCCGCCCTTGAACCTGCAACTCCTGGCGCAAAACCACCCCGAGACAATCGCGAAAAACAAAACGGCTCCGTAGTTCGCAGCATGTCCCATGAGACGACCCGGCGGGACTTATTTTCCCTGGGCCCGCTGGGAGTGTCTACAGGGAGCAGATTTTCCTTGAGTATTACAAGTGGACCCGCTGGGAGTGTCTACAGGGAGCAGCTTTTCCGAGGAGAGGGACCAACAGGGGTGCGGGGCTGTTGTTGTCACACTGCTTGGGCATGTCGTGTCGAATCGGCGTGAGAACATGGAAATATACACTGTCACTTCTTTTTTTTTTTGGTGTGTAGTCATATTCACTATACAGCTGAGTGAGGACGCCGTCCGGGTAAACCGGGCAGGACAAAAAAACGCCCAGAATTTTTTATTTTTATTTTTTTTGAAACCAGGCTCGTTCTGCGCTCGGCAAGAGGACCCCAAATCTGCAATAAAATTTTGGTTTTGGTGGGGGGATGGGGGGGGTTGGTCTGGGTGGGGGGTGCTGGGGTTGGGGGGGTGTCTGTGATGGGGCGCAAATGCGTTTTTTTTTTCTTTTTTTTTTTGTAAGGAGTGTGTGTGTATACAAGGGCTGTCTCTTATACACATCTAGATGTGTATAAGAGACAGCTCCGGACTGTGGCAGCTACGACCTTGACCTTTCAGGACTGTAGCAGCTACGACCTTGACCCTTCAGGACATCTACAGCTACGACTTCTGGAACTCTCTAAGACCTCGACTCAACAGGTCTACAGATCGAATCCCTAC